GTTCTGAGAGCATTGCAGGATCTTGGAACAAATGCAACAGGCACTGATGGACTTGGTTTGGATATGCTGAAATTGACACTACCACACACGCTTCAGATTATCACGGCCATAGTCAATACATCAATAAAAACCAACACATTCCCTGAGGCATGGAAGTGTGCTATTGTGCGGCCAATACCAAAAAACAGCAATCCAAACTCCTTCAAGGACCTTCGCCCCATCAGTATACTGCCGTGTCTGTCAAAAGTTTTGGAGAGGGTGGTATATAATCAGACAATCAAATATCTGGAGGATAACAACATATTGCCCGAGATGCAATCGGGTTTTAGAAAATGTCGTGGGACTGCAACGGCGCTGGCTGATGTTATAGGCAACATACTGGAGGCTCGTGATGGGGGTGAGGGGACGATATTGGTGCTCCTTGATTTTTCCCGGGCCTTTGACTCGATAAACACCACTTTACTGCTTTCCAAGATGACTTACTATGGATTCGCGATGGAAACAATAAAGTGGTTTGGAAGCTACCTAAACAATAGATCCCAACTTGTTGAAATCCGTAAAGAGGACGGAACGGTCGTGTCGTCTCTTCCACTCCCTGTCGCGCGCGGCGTGCCTCAAGGCTCAATTTTAGGACCGCTTCTGTACATTCTGTACAGTGCCGATATTGTAGACTCAATCAAACATTGCAAGTACCATATGTATGCGGATGATATTCAGCTATACATGTCTTGTAGACCTACAGACGTCTCGATGGCTGTACAGAATATTAATGCTGATTTGCAAAACGGTTACTTGGTCTGAGGACAACTGCCTGGTACTGAATCCTGTAAAATCTAAATATATGGTCTTGGGTAGCAAGAGGACAATCAGTGTTATGCTGTCTGCTGGGCCAGTAGTTACAATTAACAATGAAAATATAGAAATGGTAAATGCAGCGACCAATTTGGGTCTCACTATGGATCCAGAGCTACACTTTGAGAAGCACATATTAAATAGTACAAGGAACTGTTTTTATAGACTAAAAACTCTATACTGCTTCAGGAAATACTTGAGTGTAGCTCTGCGCAAACAACTTGTGGACAGTCTGGTCCTATCAAGACTGAACTACTGCGATACAGCTTATGGTCCATGCTTACTAGCAAAAACAAAAAGATTGGTGCAGCGTGTTCAAAATGCTTGCATAAGATACTGTGTGGACATACCACGAAGAAGCCATGTCACCCCTTTTGCGAATCAAAACAATATTTTAAAAATGGAAGCTCGGAGACGTTTGCACATGGCAGGCCTATTGTTTGGAGTTATTACTACTCAAAAGCCACGGTACCTGTATGAAAAATTACAGTGGAGACAGAACAGTTCAATAAACCACATACGCTCAACTACAAATCCACTATCCATCCCTCAGCACAGAACGGCGGCCTTCAGGGGGAGCTTCAAATATGCTGCGACTCACTGTTGGAACAACCTGCCACCACCAATGCGAGACCTGAAAACCAAAAAACACTTCCTAAAACAGTTGAAGAATTTTCTGTTAAACACACAAAAATGTACATAAATTACACACACTACTTACATACATAACACACACAATTCACTACTCACCTCAAGGGTCGCGGCCTTCCAACATGGTGAGGCACAGGTATCCAACAGGTTCGTTCGTGGCTGCAGCCTCCCCCATCATTTATGTTCAATATAGGTATATCTGTATTTTACAGGTTATGCCGGCTACTTGCTGTAAATACAGGACACACACTTCATATTACACTCACACACGGTACACTACTGCTTTATAGTAACAATTCACGTCAGTACATATACAAGTTAAGTGAATCATGGTCTGCACTCACGTCATTCGTTGCATTGCATTCATGATCGCTGGCGAATAGTGAAGCTGGCGGGACGCCATTACGTCACCCAGGGATGTGCTGAAAATCAGCGCTGCGACGCTAACCTCTCGAGGTTTAAGTCGTAGAAATTGCTGAGCATATCCTGTTTTTGCGCACGCATACATGACGCACAATATTGGGGCAAGGATAGCATCAAGTACCTATAATTGATGCGTTTTGTTTTATATAATTAAACTTTTATATAATAATATACTCATGCATGAAGTAAGTACTTAAGTAGGGTGTTTCTTGTCTATGGTCCACAGATAATGTTAGATATTAAGTATTCTATAATTTCAGTAAAGAATAAGTCTGTGGACCATGGACAAGACTTCACTTCATTTTATATTTTTAGCTTTTATTTTATTTAATTTTATTTTTGGTTATGTTATGTGTGTTTTGCGCAAAAATAAATGGTTTTTCTTTCTTCTTTCTTCTTCTTTCAATGTAACAATATCCACTTTTACTATTTATGTTATGAGTCCCATGTAATAGGGGGTGAGCCTATTGCCATATACCGGGCACAATTCCAAACTACGTACTACTATTGAGATTTTTTTTAAAACCCAGTAACACTTTGCCCGACCCGAGAATCGAACCCAAAGCCCCTTGACCGGCAGTCGCACTTGCGGCCACTCGGCCACCGAGGCAGTTATTTATAGACTACAGTATTTTTAAGAATGGAAATTCTGGGCCTTGGAAAACTGATTGGGACTTTGTTACCTGTTGTATGCCATAAGCATGCACTGCTTGACGCATTAATTGCGTCAAGCATGCGTGCATGCATGCTTATGGGCTTATGCAGATGTGTTTCAGGGTTCTGGGCCTGACGATGACATTATTCGACGTAAATACGACGACGAGGAACCTGTAATATAACGTTCTCGGAATTTAAAGAATTTGTATAGGGTTTTTATCAAACCGAGACATCAATAGCAGATCTACCAAATTTGAAAAACTCGTGGTTTTGTGATGTAATTATTTCGGTTCATTACAGTTGATTGTATTGTTTTATGTTACCTAATAATAAATAAGTAAAATACCTACCGAATAAATAGTGATTTTCATTGAATCTTATTACCCATAGAGAAATAAATACATAGGTAAAACCGTTCACTGAAAATATTAGTTTTTTATTATGTATCATTTTGTGAAAACGCTCCTCAATTGTCGAAAGATTGAAAACTAGCGAATAACGAAAAGCCACGTCTAGGGACCGCATTGTCTAGAAATAGGTGACTAGTGATAGTCATTACAACCGGAATGAAGTGGAGCAGTTATAACTTAGAAAGCTAGACACTAGGAACCTAGGAATAGGAACTATTGTTACATAAAAGGATTATTATTACTTTGTCCAAAGTTTCGCTTTCTCAGAACCTGATTATGTGTAGGCTTTTTGGATTGAGCACCATGAATTAGATCAACGATTACGCATAATGTTGTAATCGGAACAAATTTTATGCGAATTCTCTAAAGATCGTACAGTAGAGTCGTTGTTAAAAACAGAGAAGGTTTATAGACCATAATAGCCATGCTTCGGCAGAAATGGACCGGCTCAACCGGAGACCACGGCCTCACAGAAAAGCGACGTGAAACAACGCTTAAGTTAAGTTGTTTTTTGTCATGTGAGTGCGGTTACCGGAGGCCCAATCCGCCCAATTCCTGAATACTCAATTTGCTAATCCCCAAAAGGCTGGTAACGCATTTGTAACGCCTCTGGTGTTCCGGGTGTCCATTTGGCGACACCGATTGCTTACTATCAGTTGTACCGTCTCCTCGTTTACCGGCTTACCTATCCCATAAAAAACGTAAGATCACATTTTCTTGTTAAACCGACAAAAACAGGATTTAATCAGACAAAACTAAAACTTATACGCCAGACTCACAAAAAGCAGGAACCTATACTTGCATAGGTACTTAACCTATCTTTAAGAGCAAGATAATTAAATTAACTTGTAATCTTTATAATAAAATAGAGCACAAAGTGTGAAGGTCGGCATCAAACGTGAGACTCCCATTATGAGAACAATCAGATCCAACCGTCTGACCATGTGAAGTTCAAAGTTCAAGCAAATTGAAGAAGTATTTGATTCTCTGGTTTAGTTTTCGCAACTATAACGATTATGGGGTTTGATAAACACGATAATATCAGTAATAAGCCTTATTACTTATGTAGTAGTTCAAAATAATTCGTCTATAATATTTGGTACTACACGTTGCCAAATAATCACATTAAGAATAATTCAATATGGCAGGTTGGGTCATAGTTGATTGTATTTCGAAAAAGATTCTCTAAATTATGTTTTGAACATGGTAGTGTAGCTTCGTGTTGTTTTGATTGTTTGCTGATCAGATTTTAATGGTAAAATGAATCTGTAATTATGTTAAGATAGTAGTCTACCTTCCTTGCAACAATCTGTATGTCAAACCACACTTCAAAGGAATTTGATAAGCAATATCAATCTAAAATCTTTGGATGAAGATCTTGTTAAAAACTTAGATCGATTTGATTTTGAATGTAGGTTTGTCTTGAGTATTTAGGTAACTGACTTAGAACCTATGAAATCAATCTTAGTTCATTTTGGTTATGGTAAAGGTACTACGAAACGTCCGTAAATATCCACATATATACCCTTAAATGCATTAGAAGTACATACTTACTTATTATCCTGTGACCCCTAAATGGGCCAGAAGGCGTCCACTGAAGTTTACCATCGCGATCAGTCTTGAGTTTCACGCTTCACCTCACTTCACGACATACCGATGCTCGTTGCTTATAGAGGTACCAGAACGGTGCGACGCCAGGTTTGCCGAAGACAACGACGCTTTTTTTGCCTTTGGGGATTCCAGTCCAAGGGTTCGCTTGGGTATGTGGTCGGGACCCCCTCGGAGCGTGTGGCCTATCTATGCGGGGCTTAATCTGGCGGTCAATTGGGCTTTCGTGGCATTTCTCCAAAAACTCTATATTGGAGATGGTCTTGAACCAGTAAATTCCGAAAATGCGACCCAAGCATCGATCGACGAAGACTTGAAGCTGGCGTTAGAAGTACCTACTAGATCTAGCTTAATTTTTATTTACTTTATACTAATTTCTATAATTTTCTATTGTTTCAGGTAGGAGCAAAAAGTACTCGCCCCCGCCTTTCGAGGCAGACTTGGAACCGAGTGGTTACAATCGTAAGCTATACAATTACTTTACATCACTCTCATTGGCTGTTTGTTTGTCTAAATCTAAATTCGTTAATAAATGTGCTTGTATGGCTTTTGTTTTCCACTCAATGTTTAATAATAATAATTAATCATCATTATCTTACTTGTTGTACTTTCAATCATTAATATACTCTTCATGATTCTTTAGTTAACTCATATTCATTCTAGCATTTGACTTTTTTTGTAAACACTCATTAACCATATCAATCCACATTCGATTAAAGTGTTAGCAGGGACAGATCCGATGACCTATATAGGTATAACTCATAGTCATAGTAAATCTTTCAACTTGGATAACATTTTGTGCATAATTAATTATGATTTTATATCATCTTCATCGTATCAGTCTACTTCACCACATAGGCGTCCCACATCGAGTTCCAGATCAGATTTATACGTATCTGTACTATACAGCAAGACAAACATAGTAAAGCATAGCTCTTCTAAAAGGTTTTAACAAGCCAATGACATATAAACAATAGCAATACATAAACAAGACCTTTTCTTGAGTGACAGGAACCAAAATATAACATAGTACGTTACATTTTGACAATACAATAGGACGATCATACCAATACCTTCTCTTCGTACCATTCACCGTAATGCCTTTCGCCACACAATGCTAACTTTCTCATATTAAAAATTCATTTTCGATTTCGTTTATTGACTTGCACTTTAAATATAACAGAATACAATGTACACCTTTGATCTGAATCAGAGAAGTAAATGAAGTACACAAATACCTGAAACACAGGTTTTTACTAAAACCTACCCCAGGCGGGTCGCCACAGTATATAAAAAAAATTACCTAAATACACTAATCCTAATTTAATCTTTGATTATTTTAAAGTAAGTCGCTAAATGATATTAGTATTAAAATTCATATATTAGGTACTATAATTGTATAATAATGTAATATATATATAATACAATTCGAGATAACGTACATCAAAATCGACTAATAACGAGGAACTTTTAAACTCCGCTTAAAAAAAATCCTAAAATTAGTTAGGAATCAGACCGAAGAACTTGAAGCTCCCTTGCAGGCACTTGATCGCATGAAAAAGAAAACAAACCTTATCGATTTTGGTGCACATACTTACTGCATGCACCTTTGTATGTATATCTGCATATCACTGAATGCCACTCTGAATCTTTTATTGTAAATGTTCATGTTTATTTATGGTAACTCATGCAAAAGCTTTGTTTCCTTTCATGTCGCAAGGACAGTTACATAAAGAATGGCCCGAAGTTCTTTGGTTTTGTTTTAATCGGTAAGAACAACTTAAGATACGAACATAAGAATGAAGAACATATTTTGCAATATTTTATTTATTTCCCACGGCTTCACAGTCCCTATGTGAGTCTTACGGATAAATAAGTATAGTTAATACTGATGTAGGCGTAGTCATGATGGTACTTTATAATTTATATGATAAATAATGTATTTAGGTAGGTATATCTCTCCATAAACCAAGTACAAATTAAAACCTTATGACTGCCTCGTTGGCCGAGTGGTCGCAAGTGTGACTACCGGGCAAGGAGTCTCGGGTTCGATTCCGGGGTCGGGTAACTGGTTTTTTTTTTTTTAAATCTCAATACCAGCACGGAGTCTAGAATTGTGCCCGGTATATGGCAATAGGCTCACCCCCTATTACATGGGACTCATAACATAAATAGTGAAAAGTGGGTGTTACTGGCGGTGATACGGTGATAAAAGGCGTGATGTTATGTTATGTTATCTGAAATACATTTACAGTTTTTGATTGTAGTGTTTTAGAGAGTGCCATATTATATGAATAGCCCTGAAATTCTATTTCACTGTTACATTTGCGGGTCTTAAGAAAAAGTCGACAGCAAAGAGTAATGACTTCACGACCAATAAATAAATAACACGATCGTAATCTAGTTCCATAAATATGACACGATCAATGTTGTACAGTTCGAAACTATCAAAACTAACAAATGTTTCGACTATACATTTCATTTGACCGACCTGCATATTTTAAACAGCAATTTATCATTGATGACTAATTCGTATCGTATCGAATGAATATAAAGTGCAAATATTCTAGTAAATATCAAATGAAAACTGTCCATATTTTATTACCTAATGTATATATTTTATGTAATTTATATCTACACAGACAGTCATGAGTAAAAAATATAAAGTGTTGATATTTTTTTGTTCAAAATATATTATTAACATATATCATGATATATGAGATGATCGGTTAAAGTTATAGATACACTATAGCTTCTGCCCGCGACTTCGTAAGCGCAATCCCGTTTTTTCCCGTTCCCGTAATATTTTCAGGTCTTTTTCTATCTTAAAAACCTTCTCCTAATAATAACAAAAAATAATTAGGGAAATCGGTCCAGCCATTCACGCATGATGCCGTGACCAAGGGAAAATTGGATTCATTTATATATATATAGATGAAAGATAAATATATACCATTAAATTTGAAGTTCCTAAAAGATTTGAATCTCACGCCTACTTTTTGCCAGTTATGTTATTGACCAACTCAGCAACTGAGCAGTATTGTCAAACATTCCTACATTTTCCCACTCGTTAATCGAAGCTAAAACTTCATCCTCCAACCAAGAAAACGTCTAACAGTTAGTTATTTTTCTTTGACGGTTGCATCATATATAAACTCAGCTTAGTGTATAAATGCATAATTGCATATACGAATGAAGCATCCGGCCCAGCTAGTCTGCATAGTGACATTTGAACTAGACGGTATACACCGAAGGCCGAGCCCAGCTTCATGCACACTGCACACGATATCAGGTAACCTGCTCAACTGTTCAACAACCTGGGGCCAAATGCAAAGTATTTTTTCTACTACGTATGAACTTAAAGAGAAACTGGCTCTTTTAAAAATAATGAATAATCAGTATAACTTTCTGGCACTCTTCCAAATATCCTTAGCTAGCTAGCGGGTTTATTAGAAACGTCTGCTTTTAGCAAGTTACCATTATTTCTTGTATCCATATAACTACTATGGGCAGCGTTCGGGAAGTTACGCGAAATCTTCTCATCGAAAATCCCTCAGTGCCTAAAGACCAGGATGTTCAACCAGTGTGTGTTGCCGGTGATGACGTATGGTACCGAGACGTGGTCCCTGACCTCTGGCCTTCTGGAGAAGCTCAAAGTCGCTCAGCGTGCGATGGAGAGAGCTATGCTCGGGGTTTCTTTGCGCGACAAAGTCCGAAATATGGAGATTCGCCAAAGAACAAGAGTTACCGACATAGCTCGCAAAATCTGCAGACTGAAGTGGCAATGGGCAGGCCACGTCGCTCGAAGGACTGACGGCAGATGGGCCAGGAAAGTCCTTGAGTGGAGACCACGGACCGGAAGACGAAGCGTGGGCAGACCTCCCGCTAGGTGGACCGACGACATCGCCAGAGTTGCGGGGAGCCAGTGGATGCGGGTGGCGAGTTGTCGTTCGACGTGGAGGGCTAAGGGGGAGGCCTTTGTCCAGCAGTGGACGTCTTCCGGCTGTTGATGATGATGATGATATAACTACTATTACTTAAAAAACTCTTGATGTACAAATAACAAAATATTTACAACATACTTTCATGTACTTACACAATAACAAAACAGCCTACCAAATTACAATTAAGATTCCAAAGAGGTCCAAATTTTCGTACGATACTTACACAACCACAGATGCAGGGTAATTATTATCTGTGGAAGTTTGTAAAAGTCAAGGACAAGATGTTCGCAGGCAGTTGAATATTGCCACTCGATTGAAACACATACGTAGCTAACTGGCAGACAATCGACCGCTCACTACGTCACTATGTTTCCTTTTGTTCTCATTTCCATGCAAGCTAAAAGTTTCATACGAATTCATACGATGGTAGGGATTTCGGTGTGGGAAGCGCCAGGTGGCATGCACCCCATGAAACCATAGCAACGCCCTTGTCCGACATATTTGTTTAACATGATTAGCAGCTGTTTTCATATTCTGATGTACGTTAGCAATATGTTTGTAAATTGCTCCTGTTCTTGCAAGCAAGCTTCGTGAGTCTTGCTTGCTTGAATAAATATATTCATGAAAAGTATATGAGTGTATAGTTGTGGGCAAAAATTTCACCTGACTTACAGGTATAGTGAGCTTTATCGAGAATTCTGTAAAAACATGGATATTTGTAATTATAATAAAGGAAAATGAAAGTGGACTGTGCACTGGAGTAGACAAAAGAAAAGACATGTTGACTCGAAACCCAAAAATAATATCCTCCTTTTGGTAATTGGGTACGCCGTAGTTGGGTAAAGAGAAGTATTGTAGAATGGTAAAAAGTATCCTTAAAAGCCTAACTCTAAATCTACGCCTACACTAATCTCAAAATCTTCTTAATAGCTCTTTTAAAACCAAAATCCTTTTAGAGAATACATTTTCAACCCTCATCTTGCTTTAATTTTATTTAATACTCTTTTAGTGATACACACGCGTCACCCGTGTCATTAATGGTGTCTAGTATGATTAGAATTTGTAATGCGTGGCGTGACGAAGCACGGCGAGGCGGTACTTACCGTGACACTGACGCCCGTGACGCCGACGACATCTCCACACACACATGCCTATGAACATAGATATATGTGTGTAGTGCTTTTTCACCTTTTCTTTTTATTCCTATGTTCTTCTTTTCATTTACTTGTTTACTATCTAATGTTACTCTCATAAACTTGTTTAAACCAGTATCGTACGTCGCATGTGGACATTTCAAAACTGCAGCTCAAGAATCTAAGGAATTCCATATTTTGCAACGTGAATATTTTTTTCTGACACTCCAATCTAGTTTCATTGAAACGTAAACTGTGTAACAATTTTAAATCAGTTTTAGAGAACTATTTATAAGCACGAATTAATATTTGCGCAAATAGAAAATTACTGATTCCGGTTAATATAGACTTTATCCATTCGCTTTATGTTCTTGGCATTAAAAGC